TCTACAAAATTGGAATCCCTTGAAGGCTTGTTCATTCATATGCTGGTGATTGATGCTGGCTTGAGGCTTAGACTTTAAATAGGTTCTAGCTGGAACACCCGCTCCTGGCCTTTTCATGGACTGCTTGGCTTCCTCACAGCATGATGACTGGATTCCAAGGCCGAGCACCCCAAAAAGAGACACCCAAGCAAAAGTTGTATTGCCTTTTATGACCTAGTCCTATAATATCACTCTGTCACAATTTTTCATTAGTGGGGATCCACTAGGGCTGTCCCATATTCCAAGGGAGAATAGTTAGACTCCATCTTTTCATGGAGGAATATAAAAGAATTTATGGGCTTACTTTAAAACAACCGCATCATGTGAATGTAAAATTCTGAAAGAGAATCCAGATCTTTTGACTCTTATTTTAGAACTTTCTCTTCTATCCTGTCGTAGGACAGGAAGTCATAACTAAAATCAGGTGTTTCGATGACATATGCATGGCGAGCTTCCATGCTGCTTCAGTTTCTTGATCAGACGTCCCCATAGAGTTCACTCTTGGAATTTTTTTTTTTAATTTTTGTTTGGTTTTTAAGTCCTATCCATTTTGTTCTTAAATAGTTGTAGAAATGGAAGTTAGAAATTATTTAAACTAGTGATTTTCAAGCCTGTTTTTATTTTTTATTTTCATAGCAAAATACTTTTTTGAATAGTAAATTTTCTCTTAGAGTGTCATTATATTAAGCAAGAAAACTGAGCTGCTCTGAGTAAACCCGTCCACCAGCGCCAGTCCCATGAGGCGGCCCTTGAAGTTCTTTGGAACTTTGGGAACAACTAAGGTTACCTCTTTTATTTTATAATGTCAAAATTGAGGTTTAAGGAGTTTCAGTGACATGTCTAAAGTTATGAATGTTAGTAACTGAGCCAACAACAGGAACCAACAATAAGACTAAGCCCCTTATTTCCAAGGCTGGTGCTTTTTGTTGTTGTTGTTACCTATCTGTTATTTACTTAATTACAAATTATTCATGATGAAGCTTAGAGTAGAGCATTTGGCAACAGTGTATCACCAGCAGCAAACCTTTTAAAACAGTAATTCCTTCCCAGCAGTAGAGGGACAAGAAATAGGCCCAGGGTCCTCCCACTGAACACCCAGCCTCCACAGAGACTCCTGTTTACCTTTGATGCTGTCGCTGCCATCTGTGCTAGATGGTCAGGAACAACCTTCAGTGTCCTAATCATGCGGCCTATTTAAAATGTCAGTCTTAATTTTGGTGGCTACAGTTGTGGAAAACCACATATTACTAGTTTCCAACCAGAGTCAGCTTATGATAGCTTCTTGAAAACAATGAGTAAGCTGGCAAATTTGGCTGATAATCTCACACCATTCTACAGAGTTGTATTATGATCTTCACAGTTTTTTTCAATGTACTTCCAGCCCCCACCAGAACCCTTATTCTTCTTGCACTAGTTTCAAGTGCAAGTTTTACTTAATGTTTCTAAGCAACCAACTAAAATTAGCAGCACTATATTAAAAGCAAGGGAAAATGATTACTGCTCATCAGTTTAGCACAGTGTTCCCAAGTACTGGCTGAATGAAACCAAAATGACAGGTTTTCACTGATAAATATATTTTGGCTTTTTTCAGTGTATTTACGGTATTCTATATTGCAGAAAAACCTGCATGTGATAGAACAAAGAATTGACTATTCTATTTATAATATCCGTTTGAGATTTAATTAATCTCTCATCACCACATTTATTGATTTTCTCTTTTGAATTAGATTTTAATAACCATCTGTGAGAACAGACTGAAAGTCTGTCTCTGGAAACAATGCCTTGATATTTAGGGACATGAGAGCAGCTGTGAGCTGTTGTTCTTCCTTTCCTAATAGCTGAATGTCACATCCTGTAGTTTGGCTTTCATTCACTAATGTAAGCAAAAGATCTGCCTTTCTTTCTGACTCAAGTTCCATTTACATAGTATGTTAACATTCTGTGTTACTTTTCAGTCCAAGTTACCTTGTGATCTAAAAATAAATCCTTTCTGGGCCTCTGGTTCTAATCTCACCCTATAATCTTCTTGGCCTTAGCATTACTATTTCTCTTCCCACTCTCAGGCTTTGCCAAAATCCAGTTCTCCTACTAACTAAAATTCACTCTTCTTCCACCTCAACATGGTATTAATAAAAATGAGTGGGTATAAAAATGTGTATATATGCTCTGTGAGTGAATAAGTTAATTTATATTTGAATGAGTCTGTGTGTATCTAATAGTGGGTGTTTATAGCCAGGTTGGGAAGGGTGTGTGGGAAGGGATAGGAAAGGGTAAGCCTGGTGAAGAGGAAGAGAGACTGTAGAGGAGCCTCAAGACAATAGTAACAAGACTAGTGTTGGAGAGAGGAGACTATCATCTGTTTCTTTGCTGCTGAGATGCCCATTTCTTTAAAGATTTCCAAACATAATAAGAAATCATATGTAGAGACATCTAATTTTATTTGCTAATGAATGGAACCTCTGTCCAATAGGTAACTAAAGTAAAAATGACGAGAAATGGGATATTTCCATATTTAATTAAAGGGTGTAAAAATCAGTTATAGCAGTGAATTAAAGAAATTTAATGTTTTATACTTTCAGCACCATTGTTCTCTCCTAATACTAAACAATGTTTCTCAGTGTGACCCTCAGACTGGCAGCATCAACATCATCTGGTAACATGTTAGATATACACGTTAGATTGTTGGGACCCACAACAGACCTACTGAATCACAAACTTTGGGGATAGGCCTAGTAATCTGTGTTTTAACAAGCTCTACAGGTGCTTCTGATATACAGTAAAGTTCAAAAATCATTGTTAATTTATGTTATTTTTTTATAATTGTTAATTATAAGAAATTGGCATCTCTGTAGTATCTTCTAATATGAAAGATAATTTACTGTAAAATATACCCTAACACTAATGCAATTTATCTTAGTTTATTGAAGTTAGTGATAGATCCAAGGATAGCAAGGGAACCCTGCTACTCCCTCTCCCACTCCCCCTGCTTGTGTTCCGTCTCTCGCTGTGTCTCTCTCTGTCAAATAAATTAATAAAATCTTTGAAAATTTTTTTAAAAAATGAGCTGGAATATAGTACAATAGAAATTACCCAGTTTGAGCAATAGACAGAAAATAGACTCAAAAGAAAACTTGAATTATCTCAGAGACCTGTGGGACTGTAACAAAAGAGGTTACCTTGTCATTGTATCTTGGAAAGACAGGAGAAAGAGGGTAGGCTGAAAAAGTACTCAGAAATGACTGAAAGCTTCCTGTATTTAGCAAGAGACATAAACCTACAGGTTCAAGAAACTGAGAAAACCACATACAGGATAAACCCAGAGAAATATATGTCAAGACATATGATAATTAAACCTCTGAAAACCAGCCAGAGAAATACAACACCTTACCTTATAGAATAAGATAATCATAAACCGAGAACAGTGAAGAGATACAAAAGGTACAATTTCTATACTTCACTCCAACTGATAAAATGATAACACCAGTAGACTATGATAAGTTATGTGTATATAATATAATATTTAGAGCGACCTTTCAGAAACACCACAGATGAATCAAAATGGAATTCTAAAAAATGTTCAAGTAACTCACAAGAAGATAGGAAAAATTAAAAGAACAGAAAACAAAAAATAAAATGACAAACTTAAGCCCTAATGGATCAATAATTACATTAAATGTAAATGGTCTGAAATATATCAATTAAAAAAGATTGGCAGGGTAGATTAAAAATATGACCTAACTATATACTATCTACAAGAAACTCAACTCAAATGTAACAGTATAGGTCGATTGAAAGTAAAACAATGGGAAAAGATATATAGTAGTGGCTATTAATAATATCAGATAAAGTAGACTTAAAGAAATTACTGGAGGGTGCCTGGGTGGCTCAGTGGGTTAAGCCTCTGCCTTCGGCTCAGGTCATGATCTCAGGGTCCTGGGATTGAGTCCCACATCAGGCTCTCTGCTCAGCGGGGAGTCTGCTTCCTTCTCCCTCTGCCTGCCTCTCTGCCTACTTGTGATCTCTCTCTCTCTCTGTCAAAATAAATAAATAAAATCTTAAAAAAAAAAAAGAAATTACTGGAGAGAGAAAGAGGGACATTATATAGTGAAAAAATTGGAGTTGCAAGGGAATAATTAGAAATATTTTGTAAAATTTTAGAAATAAAACAGAAGGAGCACAAAAGCAAACATACATACCAAATAATGACTCAAGAGAACTAGAAGATGAAAAGAAGGAAATGTTTAACATTTTAAAAGAAATGAAAAAAGAGCTAAAAAATTGAAAGAAATTAAAATTGAAATAGGCAGGGTCTAACATCTGGGTAACTGGAGCAAAGAAGGACTTGGTAAGAGTCTATTCCTCAACTGGTTAATGGTTTCAGAGGTCTTTATCTTATAATAACTCATTAAGCCATATATTCCTTTTATAAGATTTTTCTGTATTTTGTTTTATAGTTAAAAGATTATGAAATGCAACAAAAAGGCAAACAGTGAACTGGCAAATATTTGCAAAAAAGGAAAAAATAGAAAAATGTCATGAAAATTGATTTTTAAAAAAATTAAAACTATAATGAATTACAGAGGATGTAAATTAATGGTTTGCATATATTCAGAAAGGTAATAAACACTAAAAACTTTGAGTCTCACTGAAATACTTCCTGGAAGACAACTATCAGGAAAGAAAGAAAAGAAAGAAACTTTATATTACATCTGTGGATAACTTATAATTTAAGATATGGCCCAATATATGTTGTGGGTGAAGTTGGGGTTAGAAGGGGCTGGTGCCAATAGAGCCTTCAGTACATGCCCTTTACTGTGGTAGATTTTCTGTTGTATGATCTCAAGGTGAATGCAATACAAAATAACTCCCTTGTTTTCTGTTCATGTTGAGTAAGCCTGACATTTTATAATTTGGAAAATTTTTACTATTAATTATATTGAATGCTTTTTTATACTTCACAGTGAGAGACCTACCACCAATTTGCCTTGATGTTAGACAAAAGCAGCGTGTTTCTATAGATTCATTACCATCTGAAATGAAGGCCCCAGTTCTTCCAGAATCTGTCCTTCCTAACCAGGCCAAAACTATGAAAGACTTTCAGTAAGTTTCAGCTCGCTGTTATGGGAAGACATACAGTCATCTGCATGCCAGTACTCTATAACATTTTTGTGTGAGAAATTGATTGAACTTGTGGCTCTTTATAAGGCATTGGTCAAGAGTGAAGACATAAGACTAGATGTCTCAAGTTCAAGGTGAAAACAAATGTATAAATAACAGGTAAGGGGTGGATAATGTTGCAGCAAAAGAAACACTAAATAAGAGAATATGAATTAAAACAGACAAAAGGAGATAAAGGTGGTGATAAAATAATAAAATGTTTCCTTTATTAAAAATATGATTTCCTCTACTATGTGATACATAAACCATTAAAGATATGTCACTACTGAAAATGAATACTTGAAGGACTAAGTGTTAATGAGAAAGTAGAGACAGAGAATGTAAACAAAATCTCTCAAATTTGGCTAGTAAGGGAAAGAAAGTGTTAATTGTAAGGAGCATGTCAAGAATGACTTTTTTAAAAGCAGGTAAATGGAAAGCTGAATTAATATCGTGATCCATTTAAGAATTATAGGTTCATAAACTATATTAACTGGAACATACTGTATTCAGCTTCAGTATTTCAAATTACATGTTTGGTGACATTTATTTTTAAAGAAGTAATGCTATTTTATCTGAATAATATTTCTATTTGCTACAATTAACGTTTATTTTCATTTTAGGGAAGATATAGAAAAAGTTAAGTCATCGGGAGATTGGAAAGCAGTACATGATTTTTATCTAGCAACATTTGATTCTTTCCCAGAATTAAATGCTGCATTTAAGGTAATAACACATAAAACACATTTTTCACTATTCGTTTTAAATTTTCCTGAAAAAATACAATAACTTAGCTCTTTTTCTACATGATATTGACTTAAGCAGCTATTTAAACAAACATATATATATTAATTTCAGAAAGTATACATATCACAAATAAGTGTTACTTAAGTGATATCTTGAAGATTATTTGCATTTGTACTAATGATGATGTTTGACTCCTTTCTTTCAGTTTTAAAAACAAAGTGATTATTCTGGCTAGTTGAACATGATAATAAAAATAAATAAATATAAAAAACAAAGTGGTTAAAATAATTCTTATACATTCATTTTTATTTCTACCAACTTTGCCCGAAAGTTCTTTTTCATCACCCTACTAAAAATATTAGAAATTATGAAAGAATAGTTATGGTTCAAAATTACTAAGAACAGTCCTTTAATGTTATATACACTTAAATCATTAACTGAATTTGCAGAAAGATGCCACCGCCTCCTTTAATACCATTGAAGATTCTGGGATTAATGCTAAATTTGTGAATGCTGTATATGATGCCTTACTTAATACTGTAAGTATTAATAATAAACAGATGGAAACAGTATAATTCTTTGTTTCTTTTGTATTTCAAAAGCAGCCACACAAATATTGTAATAATCAGCTTATAATTATATAATTGTATAGTAAATTTAATTGGAATTCTCAGAAAGTTAGATATTTTTTATTTTTTAATTAAATGAGAATTAAGCAGAAAATACTTTTTTGTCCAGTCCTTTAGGATGGCTCACTGAAATAAAATCATGCTTCACTTAGGCAGCAAAGGGAGATAAATTATTTGATTGTTTTGGCATTGTGCTGAATCTATAGTGGTTCTCAAATTTTACTATGTATCAGAATCACAGGAAGTGCTTCTTAGAATACAGAGTTTCAGATTCAGTAGGTCTGGGGTAGAGCCCAAGCATTTGTGTTTCTAACAAGGGTCCAGGGACCACATCTTGAGAACCATTAGTGCTATAGATGAATTTGTGAAGAGTTGACATTTTTTTTAATCCATAAGCATGGTATATCCCTCCAATTACTTAGATCTTCTTTAGTTTTTCTTGGTGATACTTAGTAGTTTTCTTGATAAATGTCTTACACATATCTTGTTACATTTAGTACTAGTACTTGATTTTTTGATGCTCTTGTGGTTTTCATTTTCTAATTACTAGTATATAGAAATACTCCCATATATTTATCTTTATTTACCCTGCCAAATTCACTCATTAATTCTAATAGTGCATCGATAGATTTATTTGGATTTTCTATATAGACAGTCCTATCGTTTGTGAAAAATGAGACTTTTCACCTCTTTAGTCCTTTTATCTTGCATGTGTGGATGGATAGATGTAAGTATTTGCCTTATTGCTCAGGCTAGGACCTCTTGTAAAATTCTAAATAAAAGAAGAAATAGCAAATATCTTTGTCTTTTTCCTAATCTCGGTACTTTACTCTTAAATACATGAAAAGGTACCTAATAATAATTGTCATGAGAGAAATGTAAATAACATTACACATCTGTTCAAAAGGAGTAAAAAGTTTTTAAGTACTGAATTGGCAATATTGTGGAGCAACTGGAACTTTCATACCCTAATGAGGTAAGTATAAACTAGTACAACTGCTTTGGAAAATTGCTGGCATTATTTACTAATACTAAGCATATACATATACTGTGACCCAAAATGTTCCACTCCTAGGACATTTGTCTGACCTCTTTTGACTTGGAATGATGTCAGTGTCTTATAGACACTAAAAAATTAAATCTACAACATAAGGGGAAAACTCTCTAAAATGGAAATTTTTTTTTTAAGTAATTGAATTGTTAAACTATATAGGAATGTTACTTTATACCTTTTCCAAATCCAGTAATGAATTTCACTGTACTTAATGTACTTAATTTCATTGTACTTAATAATGAAATATGGATCTACCTGCTAATTATAACTTGTTACCAATAGTAATAAGTATATTTAATATATGCAGTCATTTTATATTGTTAAACATGCTACTCTCTGACTCGTGTTCATGATTTTATCCTGCCAATCCAGGGAAAGGAAATTTTTTTCAGTTATATAAAACTGATGGTGGTCATCAAAGGGCCACCGTATACGTTTGTGTAGTTTGTATGCACGGCACATTCTGGGGGCATTCTAATTGTAATCTATGTCATTGGTGCTCTAGCCCTCTCAGATGTGAAAATCATACCACCATAAGTGGCAGTCCTCAGTCAGCAAGTCTGATTTCACTATTGAAACACATCTATAAATATAATTAACATGTAAAAGTGACCTAAGTACCTAATCCTAATTATTTTATGGTTTTCTTTTCCCTATAGCCTCAAGACATTCAGAAGACAGTATTGAAGGGAATCATTAACAGCCTATTACAAGAATGGAAAGGGTAATTTTAACGAATATTTAGCTAATCAATATAGATAATAATTTCCACATCCCATACATCTTTAATATATATGCGTGCATTTTACTCTCAGAAAAGATCTTAGTTGTTTTAAAAACAGAGATCTGAGATTATAAACTATTCATGGCAAAAAATAAAAAGCACTTATGACAAAGCTTTTTAATGAGATTTCTGTCTTCTTAGGAGGGTCTATATGTGGGCCTCACAGGATCTGTGAATCCTTTAAAATTATATATAAAAGTTGTTATGTACAGATATATGTATGTTATAAAAATGGGATGGCTAGTTACATTAGTAACCTAGAATTAAATCTATGGACATTAAATTTAGCTTTGGATTTCTTGGTAGCTAGAGCAAAATCTTTCTTCTTTCTAATATAAGGAAATGTAAGTTTGGCTACTGAAATATTTTTTTCCTGGAACTAAATCTTGAATCATTATATAAGGAATGATGGCAATGTAATCGATAATATTAGAATATCCCTGGATAGGCAGAATACAACAATATACTTTGAAAAGTCCATATTATCTAAATTGGTATTATTTAAGTAGCATATAACTTAAATAATAGCTTCTACTAAAGCCAACAGAATAACATTAAATTATAATTCAAATGTTTATATTAAGCCCCATTTAAAAATAATATCAAAATTATTAAATGTTAAGGGATACACGGGTGGCTCTGGCAGTTGAGCATCTGACTCTTGGTTTCGGCGCAGGTCATGGGATCCAGCCCCACATCGGGCTCCGTACCAGTGAGGATCTGCCTGAGATTCTCTCCCTCTGCCCACCTCCCATTCATGTGTGCGCTCTCTCAAATAAATAAATAAATCTTTTAAAAAATTATTAAATGTTAAACATACCCCATATTTTTAAATAACATCACTCTGATTTTCAAAGAAATTCATGGTTATTACAGAAAACCTAGAAAAGTCACTGCTAGTATTATAAAAAAAGTAAACATGTTAACGTTTTGCCATTTTTATTTTTCTGGTCATCTTTTTGAAACAACTGAAATCATACTGTATAGTTTGATATGATTTTTAACAGTATTTTTCCTAATTTGTCATTACACTAATAAATTTGCATTTTCCTTAAATTGTGTGATTTTGGTTGAACCCATAGTGCTTCACTGGAAATGAAGAGAGATTTAGAGTGTGGGAGAGCTCCTGAGAGGAGGAAGCCCAATGGCCTAACCCCGCTCAGGTCTGAGTCCCCTCCCATAAGCACACACTCACAGCTTTCCAACTGTGCTCCTCAGACGTGTGCCTGAGACAGATTAAACGATAGTTCAGTGTGATTTATCTATCAAAGGAGCATGTGGTCTTTACCCAAAAATCTTGTTTTATTTTGGATTTTTTTATAACAACAACGATATCTAAAGTTTACTGTTTATTATTAAGGGCTAGGCTCCTTTCTAACAATCTTCTGTGTATTTCTCATTGAATCTTCACTGCAATTTTATGAAATATGTAATATGATTATTTTCATTTCACAATGAAGGAAACAATTTACAGAATAGTTAAAGAAATTGCCCCAGTTAACATAGTAAGTGCCTGAGTCAGGATTAGAACCTAAGCAGTCTGGCGAACAGCCTGTGATCTCAACCACAACTTCAATACCCAGAGCTATGTGCTACATTAAAATAGTAGTGCATGGGACAGGAACTTGGAAATTGTTATGGTATTGCTATAAAATGGAAAAAATAGGGCTCGCCTATCACCAGGAATTTTAATATTTATGAATTGCCTTGAGTGTTTTACAATATTTTCAAATTGGGGCACCTGGATGGCTCAGATGGTTAAGTGTCTGCCTTTGGCTCAGATCATGATCTCTGGGTCCTGGGACAGAGCCCCATGTTAGGGTCTCTGCTCAGTGGGGAGCCTTCTTCTCCCTCTCCCTCTGCCTCTCCCCCTGCTTGTTCTCTCTCTATGTCCCTATCTCTCTCTCTCTCATAAATAAAATCTTGAAAATAAATAAATAAATAAATAAAAGTATTTTCAAATATAATTTCTAAAACAGTAGTCCCATTTAGAAAATGGTCTGACAATTATGTAGAAATTATAGACAGAAATAGTTTAGATTTGATTTAAACCTGAACAGTTTAAATCATTATTCAATCAAGATAATTCTTCCACAAAGAAATGTTACTAAATATTTTTATATATGTGTGTGTATACAAATGTCAAATTTTAACACATGTTATCTATTTATATTTCAGACTATGTAGCTTTACATTTTGTAAAGGTCATTTTGTACATTTGGGGCAGTGGTTTATGTTTTCAGATTTATTTTGTAACTATAACAGAAAAATAAGTAATCATTTGGTCATTTATTTTCTTAAAGGAAATAAGGAGATACTGGGAGGTGAACCTTTTCTTCCCCAGCATTTAATTTTGAAAAATTTCAAGCCACAGAAAAGTTAATGAGAACTCATATACCTTTCACTGAGATTCACCAGTTGTTAATTTTATGCCACATTTGCTTTTTGCTTTTTCTCCCTGTGGGTGTGAGTGTATGCATAATTATTTCTTTTAGTAAATGGAAGACATCATGACACTTAACCTCGAATTGCTTCAGCATATATTTCTCAATAATCTTTTCCTACGTAACTGTAACACGGTATCACACCAAACAAATTTAATGTTTTTTCTTATAGTACTCTCTAAAATGCAGTCCACATTTAAATTACCCCAGTTGTCTCAAAAGTGTTCTTTAGGGGGTGCCTGGGTGGCTCAGTGGGTTAAAGCCTCTGCCTTCAGCTCAGGTCATGATCCCAGGGTCCTGGGATCGAGCCCCGTGTGGGCTCTCTGCTCCGCAGGGAGTCTGCTTCCTCCCCTCTCTCTCTGCCTGCCTCTTTGCCTACTTGTGATCTCTCTCTCTCTCTCTGTCAAATAAATAAAATCTTTAAAAAAAAAAAAGTGTTCTTTAATATCTGGGTTTTGGACCCAGTCAAGGATCATGAATTGAATCTGATAATCATATAGGTGAACCACTATTAATTCAAGAAGTTACTTCAGGTTATTTCTGAGAGTCCATTCAATAGATCCTGAGAGGGCCAGAAAGAAACACTCATCAGCTTCGGGAATAACAAAAACTCTTGGTCAAATCTGACAATGTGAAAATCCAGATTTATATGGGGAAAAAATTATAAATCAGTTACTTCTCAAAGGTATTCAAATATGAATTTAATTTCAAATTTAATTAGACACATACTAGATGCATTAACCATGTGATTTGATTTGCAGACATTTCTGTATCATTTCAGAAATAGATAAATACAAGCACATTTTCTTTCTTTAGTGCATCAGTATTTTTAAGTGAGATACAACTATCCTTTATTAAAACAAAAATGTAAGTACTCTAAAATTGTTGATTTTTTAAAAGATTTTATTTATTTATTTGATAAATAGAGATTATAAGTAGAGAGGCAGGCAGAGAGAGAGGAGGAAGCAGGTTCCCTGCTGAGTAGAGAGCCCGATGCGGGGCTCGATCCCAGGACCCTGAGATCATGAGCTAAGCCGAAGGCAGAGGCTTTAACCCACTGAGCCACCCAGGCGCCCCAAAATTGTTGATTATTTATCAGGCTCTTAACTCCTTCCTGAGTTAGTCATGATATTTACCTCATAAAACATTATAGCCTATTTAATTTACCTTTCTTTTTTAAGATTTTATTTGTTTATTTGAGAGAGAGAAATCATGTGAGAGCATGAGTTGGGAGGAAGGGCAGAGAGAGAATCTCAAGCAGACCCCATGCTGAGTTCGGAGCCTGGGCTCCATCTCACAACCTGAGACTGTGACCCAAGCTGAAGTCAAGAGTCATGCTTAACCAAGTGAGCCACCCATGCGCCCCTACTTAACTCATCTTTTACATGTCTTCAGAACCATCCAAGAGTAAGCACAGAAGAACCTATATTCCCAGCATACTATGAATATGTTACTGTCTAAGTAATCATACATACTAATTCTCATTTTTGGCTTTTACCAGCTCAGTTCTCACAAAAACATGTATCATTTTTTGTTAGATATAAGATTAAATACTAACCTGTAATCAATTATGCATATTTCTTTTACAGTCCACGAACAAAAGATGATCTTAGAGCATATTTTATACTTTTACAGGTAAGAAAGCGAGAATTGAAGTTGTCTAATTCAGATCTCCCTCTATGCATGTGTTAAGGGAAATGATACCAAGTACTAAGTATTGTTTTGTGCAACATTATTGATAGTTTTTAGATTATAGTGTAACCAGAGCATTAAGGTTATAACAAATAAACAATGGGAAGCTAAATTATCTTTTGGATTAAAATTTTAATGTAGTTCTTGCCTTTCTGCTGTAGTATTCAGGATCAAGCAGAATGGAAGCATCTCTGCTTCATCCAGTCAACTTCTTATAACTAGCTTTAATGGGCTTCAGAACTTTCTTTTATTTCCCAACTAGTAGGTTTCTAACTTCTCTAGGTATTTTAAATAAATGCTTCCATTAGAATTCTAATGGAGAATTCAAGGTGATTGCTTATGTTTGCTAAAGCAAAGGTGATGAACTTTTTCCTCTTGAGAGATATAGATTCGTAGATACAAGAAAATAAGGTCCAGACAAATAATAAGCAATTTTTAGTTTGTAGTATTTTCTGAGAAATAAGTATGTTATTACATAGCCAGCATACTGCTTTTGTATTAGTCTTTACAACTTACAAAAGCTGTTTGTGTATATTATTATCTCATTTAAAGGTAAAACATTATGTTAAGTAAGATGAAGTGTTTAGTTAAATATTATGTCCAATAAAAGGAAATATGCACATTAGTAATAAAAAGGGAAGAAAGGAAAAAAGTAAAAGTGGGAAAAACGCAAGTAGACAAGAGGTAGGGGAAAGATACAAGAACGGAAAGTAGAGAAGTAGGAAGGACAAAAGCAAAACGAGAAGAAAGGGAGGAAGTGTATGTAGATAGTAAAAGCTAGAGAAATAACAAGTGAAGCTCAGATTTTTTGAGTGAGTCTGTGTGTCAGCCAAAAGCTCTGCCCTTGACACTGTCTCAGGAGCACTACCAGGTGAGGCTGTCTGCCGGAGGCAGTCAGTTTCGAAGAATACATGGTGCTCTCTTAGCTGCCACAATTTCAGTTTATTTTTCAGTAATATTCATTTTTTCTGTGAAGCTCTGAAATGCACATAGTGATAAGAGTTTAGGTTGTAGAGATGTAACTAGAGGCTTTAAGCACTCCTTCAGTGTCCCTTTGACATTTGAAGGTTGTCAGACGCTGTGTTATGGCTCTCTCCTTGTTCTTTGTGAGACGTGCCACTAATTCATTTCACAGTGGCAGAGGTTTCACAACCAGCTCTTACTTACTTTTTCTAGCATTCTTTTTTTCTTTAATCAAGGAAGAACAGTTTTTTGTTTAATTGGATAATAGTGATTACCATGGAGCTAGGAGCCTTACATACATTTTCTTTTTTACTACTTAAGTAAGATAGATACTATCATTCCTATTTTAGAGATGGGGAAATGAGACTCAAAGTTTAAGGAACATGCCTAAGTGGTAGAATCAGCCCTCAGGCCCAGATCTGTCTTAATTTCAAAGCCCATGCTCTTTCTGCTATTCCACAGCCAAAAATCAAAGTTTCTGTTAATTAAACAATTAAACAAATAGATTATTGTTTTATAGGTTTTCACCCAGTATTTCATAATCTCAAATTTAGTTTCCTAATTTACCACTTAGCTCATTAAGCTTAGTGTCTTTCCTTTCATGTTAACAAAATTTTAACACAATTATCTTTAATATCTTTTTCAGAATCCTCAATTTAATAATACATCTACGTATGTCATCTATGCTCACTTGCTACGACAGATAGCTACCTTAGTGGAAGCTGATCATCATTTCCTAGTTCACTGGTTTAAAAAGTAAATCATTCTATCATATTAATAAGAACTCGTATAATCGTACAGTTTCAAGTTTGATATTAGTGATTTTATAATAAACTATATTTAAATGTTTTCAGGTCTCTAGAAATGATCTTCTAATTAACAGTACTTCAAAGCCAATTATAAACATATCCTTTAGTACCACCGAGAGAGTAATTAAAAATCTACGTTTAAAGCAAGTAACCATTTTGCTGGAGCAAACTGTTGTTGACGTTTCTATCCACTGCTTTCTTTTATTACACAGCACCTGCCTGTCATTGGTTTTCTTATATCTGAAAGTGGTGACTGGATTTTCTCAGATACTGTTTCAATTTGTCTTTTTATTTCCTATTTTTGCCAATCAGTCTCACCATTACTTACATAGTGCCTTTTCCTTAACTAATAATGTCATCATAAACTATAGCTTAGCCATCAGTATCAATTTATAAAACAATACAGTCTGGTTTTTCATAGAGCTGTACTCACATAAACAATGACTTTTCTCCATGATTAAGAAAATGTTAGAGGCAAAATATTTTCAGAATTAATTTTAAATACAGTCAGTTCTCATTATTCATGATATTTATGTTCTATAAAGTTACTGCTAACACTGAATTAACAGATACCGAATCATTGATCTTTTAGAACATAACAGGGTTAGGCTCCTATGAGCTGCTGGTCATAGTATTCCCATCAACTGATGAATACATGATCTTATTTTTAAAGCATTGTATGTAAAGACATCTTATTTGATAGAAGTTGTGGATTCATTAGCCTTGAACTTGGGACCAACGGCACTATGACTAATGTTTGAACCAATTTTATCTGACGCAAGTTTATTCTCCATAAGGTACCTCACATTCCTCTCGTATTTGAGAACAATAGACAGAAATTTAGCACTACATTTTGGGAGCCATTTTAAAACACCAGAATTACTAACAAAACACAAAAGTGTGGAAAACATGACACTAAGTAAACTGTGTAAAGAATACTCATTTATGGTATGGGAGCTAAAATAAGAAGACAGAGTGTTTCTTTGTTCAACCTCAGCTGGGAATATGCACATCTGCAAATGACCATGACTGAAAGCTCCACTAATACTGATTTTGGGGTTGCAATGAAATTTTAGCAAGTAGGCAAATTTGCAAATACTGAGTCTAAATATAACAAGGATTGACTGAATATTGAAAGCCTTAAGAATGAAATGCTTAATGCTAATGTTACAGTAATTTTGGTGTTTATTTCTTATTTAAGAAACAATACTCCAGGTAAGGTTTTACATCTTTTCAAATATTTGGCAACTTAAGAAATAGAGTTTGGGGGGATATTCTATAATTTTATGTGTACAGGATACACTTGATATCTAACATATTGCCAAAATAGAAAATGTGATTTGATTGGAATTGTTTCAAAATCTTTACCAGATTATCCCAGAAGAGGTTCAAACAATTGGTAGAGAGATTGCTGCAATTTATTTCTTTGCGCCTGTTTCCTGCAAAGCCTGAAGAATTTCCACCTATAACAAAGTGTTCCTGGTGGATCCCATCAGCATCCAAAGTGCTGGCTTTACTTAGTAGGTTTTATTACTCTTTCTTCTCTTTTGTTAGATATTAGGGACATTTCTATAAGGATCCCAGAGTACTGTAGAGGCTTTCTTAAATTTTAAAACCTGCCTTTGAAGTGAAGAGTTGTAATTTATTTCCTGTTTTGATAATGAATTTCACATTTACTGTATAAGCATGAAAAAGCTTTATGCATTTTATTGGGCAGTATTCTGTGTTCTGGCCGTCTTCTGCATGTGACCTACTAAGTAGAGACCCCTAAGAAAGCAGGAACTTGTGTCGATTCCCAAGAACTTCTAGGAGAGAACACACTGATGGGAAAGTATGTGAGGCGGTGCTCACCTGTGTACTCCCTTTACTATACTCTTCTAATCCCTACCACAAGTTTTTTATAAAAGTAAGAAATGATTGGCTGTATCTGAGCCACCATTTTTCTTTTAAGATTTTATTTATTTGAGAGAGAGAGAAAGAACATGAGCAGGGGAAGGGGCAGAGGGAGAAGTAGGCTCCCCGCTATGCAGAGAGCCCAGGTTGCAGGCTAGATCCCAGGACTCTGAGATCATAACCTGAGCTGAAGGCAGACACTTAACCTACTGAGCCACCCAGGCATTCCCCTGAACCACAATTTGAAACTACTTTTTAAATTTGGAGCTATAGGGGTGCCTGGGTGGCTCAGTGGGTTAAAACCTCTGCCTTCGGCTCAGGTCGTGATCCTGGGGTCCTGGGATCGAGCCCCACATCGGGCTCTCTGCTCGGCGGGGAGCCTGCTTCTCCCTCTCTCTCTCTGCCTGCCTTTCTGCCTACTTATGATCTCTGTCTGTCAAATAAATAAATAAAATCTTTAAAAAAAAATTTTTGGAGCTATAGTTGCTTAAAATGGGAATTTCTAGATAAAGGCTATCTGGTGAGCATTAAAATGTTCTTGTTAGAATGAATCATGCACATGTTAGAAAAGATCATTGTTAGAATTTATCTTCACAGATACTGCAAACAGTTTGGTTCATCCTCCCCTTATTCCTTATACTGATTTCTATAATTCAACATTGGATCACATTGATCTCATGGAAGAATACCACACCTGGCAGAGCTTTGGAAACTCTCACAGGTACAATCAGAAGCTCATTTTGATTACTTACTTAAATGAAATACTATTCAAAATAATGAGTGGATGTTTGTATAAATAAATTTAAGTATGCACATGACTTTGTATATAAACTTATAGTTTAGATAGCCAGCCTTGAAACATCATTATATTTCTTAAAGCATTTTCTTTTTCTTACATCTTGAATTTGTGTACATATTAATTTGGTTTTAGTTTAACAGCATCTTCTTTAGAAGGGAAAAGTTCTATCTTAGTGTGTAAGTTTCTTATATCTTCTTCTTCTATATGCTACCAGCCAGTACAGGGGTCACAAACTTTCTCTATAAAGTACTAGATGGTAAATATTTTTGGCTCTTTGTACTATACGAACTCTGGTATACCACTGTAACACAGAAACAATGTTAGACAATGTGTAAATAAACAAGTGTGTCTGTCTCAGAAAACTTTCTGTACACAGGTGGTAGACCATATTTATCCTATGGTTCGCCAATGCCTGTTCCAAAACAGTAATTATACACATCCATATATACACACGTACAGTTCTCTCCTTTTCTCCTTCATTCTGTCCCTTATACACAATATAGAAAGAATGGGAGTTATAGCAAAAGGGCTTCGCCTCAAATTATTTATTATAGTAGTGTAATAGGTTTTCAAAAAGCTTGACCAAATTCTTTAATATACTGTACCTATATCCACACTCACAGTTTGGATTAAACCAGCATGACTAACCCAAACATAATTTATTCCCAAACAATGTGATACCTTGGAGAGTGTGTCTGTTCTAAAGGAGACTTAAGAGCTATGGTAGGGATATAAGTAGTCTCAAAACCCCAGATTAGTTTATAAATTGGTTCAATCTGCCAGGGACCCTTTTTATCAGAATTGGCCAAAACCATAGACTGGCCTTCTGGACATATCTCCGTCCGTATCTGAATACTCAGAACTAAACAAGAATTGTTTCTCGGACTTTGTCCGAGAATATCCATCTGTCCGATGGATATTTTCTTGAGAAAGTATTTATTTTACAAACACACTTTTTTCTCCAACTTTAATATAATTGTAATGTTGTAGACAAAACCACAAAACAACTCTAAGAGTTACTGTGCATATTTCAGTGACACCTTTTAATACAGAGCTCTTCTTAACCACTGTGCCACAGCACTGGGTACCAAGAAGGGCTTTCAGAGGACTGTTGATCCTATGATCCTTTCAGTTTAGGGGAAGCCAGCCTGGACTTAGAGGGGGACCTGGAGCCCAAGGGCAAGTCTCCTCTGGCAATGAGCAGCCACAACTGTTTATTTCAGTGTGTCACACACATAGTATTATGTGCATGACGAGGGAAGGGTTAAGCCACACTGTTTGAAAATATGTAATAAGACCAAGATATATAGAGATATAGATAGATGTATAGAGAGATGATAGACCTCATTTCCAAGCTTTTAGTTAGCACTTAGTGACATCAAAACTGTTACACATTAGTACTGAACAACTTTATTAACAGTTGCATCAGGAGAAAGTGGTTTTATTTGTGGTTCGCACTAGGGCAATCTCCTTTTTCCTCATCACGCCTTCTTTGCACCCAGTACTTGACTATACGTGGATGGATTCCAGCTGTAACATGGATTCACTGCAGCCACTTCGGATGGAGTCTGTCTCCTGAAGTGTCACTGTCACCTACTAGTTCCCCTAAATGCATTTCTCTCTGGGTAGTTTGTGGCTTTTTTATATACCACAGGATCAGCTCTGAAGGGAGAAAGTTGGTTATTTTCTTGACCTTTGATCATAATGTCCTGTCTTTACAAATACATACCATTTCATACTAATAACCATTAAATACAATGCCAGCAGCAACATACTTTTATTTTATTGATCTTAAATTTATTACTTTGCTTTTTACTACCATAGTTATTGCTAGATTTCCTATTTCTGAAGCTTGCACATGAGAAATATCCAGGTAATAATGGATTTTTATAGTAATTTCTGTGCATGAACTTTCTGTCCTAATCCTCCTTCATGAGCACTTCTGCCTCTGGGTTCTGGTGTGGGCCATATTCTCACAGGGAATGATCTGTAGGTGACTGTACATAAACTGAAATGATTTGTGTGAACCATATAAGTGGTTAGTACATTTCCAAATGTTAGATGTAGATTCCTCTAGAGAATGAACACACAGCACGTCTAATAATGATACGGACTTCACAAGACTGTGGGGATTAAAAGAAATGATGCAAATAAAATCATTTTGTAAATGGTAAAACACAATACAAAAGTGATGTTTTATATTGTTAGGAGGGGTACCTTAGATATTCCCTTAGTATAATTTTGCTAAAAATACACCATTTTGCTTTTTCTGTTTTCACTTGTTGAGCAGGTTTTCCTTCTGTCAGTACCCATTCGTTATTTCTATAGCTGCAAAAAAAACCATTATTCAAAGAGACTCAGAACAACAGATGATAAGCATCGCAAGGGTAAGCCAGCTACAAAAACATTTATGCTGACTATAATCAATACAGTAAATAATTTAATAAATAAATCAAATGTCTTGTGAATTGTTCTAGCATAATTAGGAAATGTTAAAAGTAAAATTCATTTTATAACTCCCTCCAAAAGTGCTTAAACCTGTTCACGATATTGGAAAGAGATAACCCCTCATCAGGTTCTCATTATATTATAAATAGAGCAGGAAGATGAAATACCTCTCACAGACCAAAGTACTGGGAACCTGTTGGACATCATTCTGTGGATCCCATATTCGAACTCGATGGTAGCCGACAGAGCACTGGGGAAGACTGCAGTGACGGCAAGTGGTGTCCTTAAGAGTACACCACTCAAACCACAGCAGCGTGTTCTAGGTTTTAAGAAAATCAAATAGGAAAAACCAAAAAATTAGAGGATATGTACAACCTTGGGAAACAGAAGTATGTCCCAAAGAAGTGAAAGATGTTTTATGGATTCTTAGGAAACCAAAAGGCATGGAGACCTACAGAAACTGGGGTAGGAGTCTGACTGGCTGTAGGCAGACCATGCAGCAGGAGGAAGTTTATCTCTGGACCCGTCTTTATCCCCCTTCTCTGCCCACCAGCCCTTGTGTCTCAGCACAGCTCAGTAAAATTAGGTATGTTTTCTAAGAGATACAGACTGAGTGAGCAGTTTTTCTTTTATTAGAGGGCTAGACTATACATTTCAATGCTCATATGTTTTGAGTATCTGCTTTCGGGACACTCACTATTTTAAAGAGGGAAGGTTGTCAGTAATCTTAAAGAGATCCTCAGAGTAAAAAGAAATGATTTCCATGTCTTGTCCAAGAATACAAAAACATTCCTAAAGTATAAATTATAATACTTTAAAATGTTTTAAAAAATAAGAAAAGTTTATTCTTCAGTAATTCAGTTCCCAGAAGGTGAGTATTTTTCCTATCACAGAGCAGGACAAAAGATTTGAGTGACTGGTGACATCCCAGAGTCAGCTTACACTGACTATGAGAATATTAGAAGAAACATTATTGCCTGTGTGTACCAAGGGAGTTCCAAAGCCACTCTACCTCCCTGAAAAGTAAATTTAAACAGGTATATTAGGCATCAGAATTACTACTTAATCTCGGGTAGATATTGGCTCAAAGATTAGTCTATATTGGCATTTTGGCAGTTTCTCTTAGCTGCATTTGTGTAATTTCATGTGCCTTTTTAGAACTTTTTTACTTTGGGCTATAACTTTTTTATATTTGTAAAAAAAAAAAAAAAAAAGTCTGAAGAGCTAGAAGTTTATCTCAGTTCCCCTGAGCAGTTTTCTGCCATGTCACTCACACTTAAAACAGCAAATATCTTCTTTAATGAAATTTTCTTCTAATTAAAAGGAGAGTGGCAGCTGTAGACTCTGTCACAGGCTGTCTTCCACAGAGCATGGACACAAATGAGTAGAGACTGAAGAGTTAAGTGCCATTATCTGTTCTTCTGCTTGTTGCCCAACATTTTAAGTTGTAAACTGCCACATCACTTGGAATTAATGGCTGGTGATTATTTTGACAAAGGGACAGACAGCCTTATAGGTAGTTAATGTAAACAAGAGTTTATATGGTGTCTGAAGCTGCGAAAGAGATTCCCCAACCTAAAAATAACCTCCTCATCAGACTGTATCTAAATTCTACCTTTTAGCGATTATTTCATTCATTCCAAGCATTTTCTATTAAATATTCTTGATGGGAGGAGTAGCCACTAAGCCTTGGCTACCACTAGCATCTTAGTATAAATTTGTTTGCTGGATATTTCCAGTGTGGTGGCTTTCCAAGAGATAGAGTATGAGTACAACATAGGAAATTAGGTTAGGACAGTAAGTCCATGACATAGGAATATAGAGCAGTCCAAGCATCAGAGGGAGGACCCAGAGAAGAAGGGGGAAAAAATGCAAAACTATTAAAAGCCTTTAGAACTGGAAATTAGAGAAACGAAGTGCTCTAAATTAGAGTGTTTTATTGTAGTAATCTACAAAATCATGGACATAGCCTTATACAGATTTGTAGTATTAAAAATTTATTTAGTTAAGTCCTTTGCTGCATTATTTAAAATATCTGAAATGTCATCTCTAGTCTACAGTAATTTTTCTTTGCTACCAAAGAAGATGAAGTAGTGTGATAAAAATTATTTTAATTAAATTATATAAGTTGGAATAAATTGTATAAGCATGTAGACTTCCTATAATACTTATATATTTCTAATAGGTGTTTTTAATATGTTTTTTACATACTCATTACTTATATTTTGAAAAACCATAGATTTTTTAAATTACCCACATTTCCATTACCCAGACATTTCCATTACCCAAACATAACATACCCAAATTCTTAATATTTTAGTAAATTTTCTTTTGATATTTCTTCTCTATAATATCTTTAAAAGGCAACAGAATTGAAACAGTTTTTTATACATACTTTTGTTCCCTGCTTTTCTCACTTGTACCTTTCTTAAATACTTTCCATATTATTTACATAATTACAACCATCCATTTTAATAGTTGTATTATATTCCATTAGATACATATATTATATATTTCTGAAGTTTTGCTTTTATAGCTAGTGCTGTGATGAACATCTCACTGTATATTTTTTGTGTTTAGAATTCCCAGAAGTGGAATTATTGAGACAAAGGGTATGAACATTGTTAATATTTCTAAATGTTGACAAATTACTTTCTAAAAGTAGACTGACTGTGCTTTTCCAGTAAATGCAATATCTAAAACGCTTAAGCCAGGTTTATCATAAGTAGTATATACCTCATTTCAAGTGTTCCCACTTTATGTTTATACTTATTAAACAAAAAGCCTTGCTATTTGAGCAATGAGTCATCTGGAAACTTATAACGCAACTTTCTTTACTATAGAAGGTGAATTATTTTTGGTCCTCCATTTTGGACCCCCTTTCGTTACCATTGTGTTACCAAAATGAAAAGATACATATAATAAGTATATAATAATAGTAATTTGTATAATTGAGTGTATGAAAATACTTATATGAGAGATGGTATAGAGAAGGATATAAATGATTTTTATTATAGTGCTTAAATGTTTTAATTGAAATTAAAATAAAAGCAAAAGTGAGTATAAATATAAGTAAAAGTAAAAATGTTTGCTTTCTTTTTTAAATAGCAAAGTCTGGTGGATAAAGTATCTCGAAGACAGAAACCTGATATGAACATGTTATTTCTAAATATGAAAGTAAGACGGACACATCTGGTTAGTGATTCGCTTGATGAGGTATAGATCATTATTCCAAAATGGGACTAATTGATTAAAGCTTTAAATAAATTCTACAATGTGGTATATTACTAAAGTCTTGGTAATCTGTTTTTCATTTTTGTATGTCATTAAGTGTACTTCCTTATACTCTGGTGCCATTGTTAAAATCAGTTGTGTATTCACAATTAAGCCTTATGTTCATTGTTTACGTTTATTAATGGTTTGTTGTTAACTCCGCAGAAAAAGATTTTATGTAGAACACTTAAGTGAGCATTTTTGTGTTTTTGAATATGTAACTTAGATTCTGGACCCACCTTTGTCACTTGTTGGGTGTGCAATGAGTCATTTTAACTTCTCCGGGCCGGAGATTACTCATCTTTAAACTTAGAGGTCTGACCTCCAGGGGATGTTGAGTGTACTCAGGCCCAAACATACTTTGGTTGTACGGAGCTTCATGTAGGTGCAGTACTTCAGCCAGATCTTCTTGTGGCTATTATAAGATAATGGCTAATTTCATTATGTGATTTTTTAAATCAGGAATAAAAATGAAAGAAAAGGAAATTAAGTATTTTATGATATAAACTGCTAAATTAAAATCTTGAAGGCAACATGATACCAGGAGACAGTAACTTTGGGCAAAGTTCTTGACCCTCTAATTCTTTCTCTTGATCTTTACAACAAACATAATAAGGCTTAATTCACGTAGTAACTGACAAATTATTGGATGAACAGATGGAGTGAGTTTTGTGACATTGTAAATAAAAATAAAGATTGCCTAATGCATTTCCCAGAATTGAAAAGGTTAATTTCCTATTTACTGCCCTTTGTTCATCTCTACCATATAAATTTTTCAAATAGTTAACCCGGAAAAGAGCAGACTTAAAAAAGAAGCTGAAAGTTACATTTGTAGGAGAAGCTGGTTTGGACATGGGTGGCTTGACTAAAGAATGGTTCCTTCTTCTAATTCGCCAAATTTTTCATCCAGATTATGGTGAGTATTCAATTTTTATGAATAGTGTTTCTTCATAATTGTTAGATTAAGTAGGCACTGTTATTTTTAACCAGCCGTATGAGTTTATAGATTTTTTTTTTGTCAACCATAAATGTTGAATAATCTAAGGATGGTTATTTACATTTTTAAAAGTGAGCAAACTGATGATTGAAATGTTCCTTATCTTACTGGGAATCCTACACAATAAAGACTGAAAGTATATATTTGCAAGACTGCATCCCCATCTTTCCTGAATAAACCAAACGCATGAAAATTTGTCATTGAAATAAAGAACATGCAGAATTTAAAAACAAGACTGTATCTTGCTCTACACGAATACTGAAGCCTCTTTCATTAGATTTTGAGCCATTTTGATAAATAAGAATTCAATAATTTTTAAGACAAAAGTAAGCTTTGAAATTTTATCTTATTAGAGAAAATACCTATATAATCCTTAGTGTCTAATCCTTAGTGTCTATAAAAGATTTTTCTTTTAAGTGAGTTTTAAGTATTTTTCTTACTCTTTATTTTGTATATGTGTATATATAACCTCTTTCTGGCAATGGAAAATAGAGATGACATGGATAAACTAAAATTAATTTTGATCATAATTTATAAAACTCTCATTTTTATAAAAGAAAATCAACTGATTTAGTTTTCTGTTTTTAACCCATTTATACCATTGGTTCAGAATGCCAATAAATAGTAAAATGCTCTTACACATCATTGTGCATATATTTTATATATTTTAACATGAAAGATGGTTTGTAATGGAACTATTGCTAAAATGTCTTATTTCTAATAGAGGAGATGGTATCTACATTTTTAGTACTTTGATTTTTTTAATCAGTCCTGTTAATAAAATTATGTTTCTTTTTTTCAGGCATGTTTACATATCACAAGGATTCACACTGCCATTGGTTTAGCAGTTTTAAATGTGATAACTATTCTGAATTCCGATTGGTTGGAATTGTATCCTTTAAACATTCCACTAGGAGGTGCTAGTACACTAGAGATTTTGAATTTTATCTGAATTTTGGAAAGCTTTTCACATTAAGCCTTTTATTCAGATTTAACAATCTTGTCAAAATTACTAATAGATTTTCAATTATTTGCCGTATCACAGCTATATGATATCACCAGACTCAATTAAAAGGAAATACAAATTTTTTATATTTTTCTCTGAAAATATCTCAATATAAAGTTATTTCTTATTTCACATGTTATCTGATTTCTCAGAAAATTAGGACATTTTTAAAATTAGAAGTATCTTTTCCATTTGTAATGAACTATTTTTCTGTTCTTTTACTTTGTGCTTGTTTTGCTTAGTTTAATAAATTGAAATTGTGGAAATTAAATCTAGGCCTTTAAAATGCCCTTGAATCTGGAAACTTCCATAAAACTTAAAAACTGAATGGAATGGGAATATTTAAAGTATATGGCATTATTGTATAGTATTTTTTAAATTATACAAATCCTTCTGCCATCCTCTGATTCCTATCAGGTTGTAGTAGAGAGTACATTCCTGCATTGGATAGGAGATTGGAAAAGATAACTGCCACATTAACTTTTTTAATTCTAAGAAATACAATTGAGGAAGAAAGGAGAGAATAGTAAATAAGTGAGCATGCACCAGAGATACCTAAGTTAAAGGAGGGGAAAATATCCAGCTTTAAGAAGTTTACCATCTAGGGGGCGCCTTGGTGGCTCAGTGAGTTAAGCCTCTGCCTTCAGCTCAGGTCATGATCTCAGGGTCCTGGGATTGAGCCCCACATCAGGCTCTCTGCTCGGTGGGGAGCCTGCTTCCCCCTCTCTACTCCCTGCCTACTTGTGATCTCTCTCTCTCTCTGTCAAATAAATAAATAAAATCTTTGAAAAAAAAAAATTTACCATCTAGCTGGGCAGATGACCATCAATTCAAGGTCCCCAGTTCCCAGAGACTCATGACTCTGACATTAAATGCTAAGGAGTTCTGAGAAAGAAAAGAGTCAGTGTATTCTTCCCAGAAAAGGCAGAGGTTTAAAAATGGAACCATTCTATCTGATGAGCACAAGGCTAGAGAGAGTAGGACACAGACTGGGAGAATGGCTAGAAACTAGGCTGCATTGTCCTGGACGTGGTACAAAGGAGTGTGCAGGCCCCTTGACTGAAACAGAGGGCATCCTGGGAGTTCCAGAGGACATCTTCAGCAAAGGAATCAGGAGTGATCTTAGAGAGGGCTTGGAATGTTCAGCTGCATTTGTTGGAATAAATCCTGAGGAAAGTATAGTAAAATTGAGAAAGAGGATAGAAGAAAAGTTAACAGGGAGAAAACAGCACGTTAAGATGGTAAATCTAATTTGAAATTATACATATGTCGTCATGTCCAAAAGTCCAGAGCACCAAGTTCCATAATATGGAGTGCTCATCAATTCTTAAACGTCTGTTTTTACAGTGTTCTCTACAGGAATCGTTTGTTGAATGTTTCAGTTTCATTGAAGGCCTGAGTCACCAATACTTCTCATTACCCTTTGAGCTTTTTGAATTCCCTGATAAATGTTTGTCATACTTTATATTCTTATCACAGCTTAGATTTGGATGATTATTTTGACTTTTTAATATTTATAATGCAGTATTAAATCTTACTTAGCTTAAATCACATTTTTAGAATGTTGTTATCCATAAAATCATAAGTTTACTAATTGGCCTCCTTTGCAGTAGTCATTAGTTCCTATTCAAGGATTACCCGAAAGAGCGAGCACATTCAGCATATTTACACATGCTGCATATTTCAAGTTAATTAATTAAATTTAAAATTAACTGATTATAACTACTATCTCATTATTATGTGTATTTATCTCACATGCACACTCACAAAAAAAACTATAGAAAGTGAGATTGATGCTGAAAAATCATGATAATTCACAGGAAAAATAGGATTTGGTAATGGATTATGATCATGTAAGTAGGTGATAGATCTGTCAAAAGTGAGAAATAAAAATTGAGAACGTGCATTCTCTATTGAGAAAATATAGTTAGTTCTGTATATATTTTCACTTTCAGTTTCAGGACCAAAGATTTGTTGTTCTAGTAGTTCTGCCAGCATTGCATCCCTAATACTTCAGTTTTAAATATAGTAAGACTTTGGAGTTTACAGGAAATGTTATGGTGAAACCTGTAATAATAATTATAAAATGTTTTAAAGATTGCATGAAGAGCCATAATATAACAATTTTTTAAAAACTAGAATTGCTTTTACCAAAAGGGGGATTGAAAGAAGGTTTTCAAAATCTACCCTCTTTGTACCACCTGATGCCTCAGTGGTCCAGCAGAATTGCCCCATCCTCCATCTCGTCCTTGCTTCAGCCAGCACGGACTGACTTAGTGTGAAATGAAACCTTGTAGTCTGCATATAAAGCTGCCCTGTGGCAAATCTTATGGGCCTGCTTCCTCATCTGCAAAAAACCTGCCTTTAGAGTTATAATTTTTTTTAAATTTTTAATTAAAAATGCTTAGAACTTGTCACTGTGGTAGATGATCATAATTGGTAACCATCATAGTATTATGGTCACTGTCATTGTAGCCGTGAGCACAAGTGTGGAAGCATATTAGATCTCCTTCTCGGTGTCTTTCCCTTGAATACACTACTCGGTCTCTGTTGATATAGTTACCTATAAAATAATATATCTGTTTATTCCTTAAGTTACTATTAACTTTTCATTCTGCCTTGGCAAATTGAAATACTCATTGTCTTCCAATTTTTAAAAATAATTTTCAGTAATTTATCCAGCCCATATGTTTAGATTTCCTTTTGAGCCCATAAACTTAATGACTTTCTTAATAACTTGATATAATAATCTTTATTTCACAGCTGAAATAAGACATTTAAAACCCCTCTTTCAGCAAATGGATGACTTACATTCTGCTATAAAAGTAATAAATAAAATATAACTGGGCAGGGTTTATATAGACAACATCTGTAGCTTTTAACCTGAACACTTTGTGTACACTCCAAGTAATAAAGGCCTTTCAAGTATTTCCGTAAGATTATAATTGTCATGTTAGCCTATCAATAGCATATGTGTGTGTGTGTGTGTGTGTGTGTCCATGTCTGTATGTTTATGCAATTCGGCTGTCTGTATTTAGTTTTAAAATAGTTAAAATGATCACCGAAATTAGGAGTGTGTTCTGCATTGAGTTCTGAATAAATTGCTTCTACTACTTACAAAATCACCATCATCATTTAAACTTAGAATAAATTTAGAAGATGTTTTCTTGTATGTCACGTAATTTATGAAATGTTTGAAATTGCTGTCTGCTGTGATCTTAGATAAATTTTTCTGGAGAAATCATCAAATACTATCAACCAACCTCCCCCCTTTTCACATGACTCTTGGTAATCAAGGAATTACATTGTGTAAAATAAAGGCAAGATAAAAGGAAGTATGTGGGATTAATTCAAGTCTGTGTTAGATCTGAAAGAAGTATGCAAGAAATAGACTGATGCATAATTCAAAACTCATTTGTTGTCATGGATTTTATGTTAATGCTTAACATTCAGTATGCATAGCTTATGGGACTAGCTGTTTATAACAGCATTACCTTGGATATTCGTTTCCCCCCCTGCTGTTACAAGAAATTATTGAGCCCTCCCATCATTCCTAGTGATCAAAATATACCAGTAGGCATCTGCAGTGTGACCACTGACGACTTGTGTCAAATTATGCCTGTAAGTATAACGTTATTAGCTTATTCCTTAATGCTTACTCCTTAATGATAAATCATTTCTCTTCCACCTGAAGTCTTTCTTCGCCTAATGCTGTTCTTATTTTTAAGTATATTTTCTCTATGTATGTAACCCATCTCCTTTTTCATCTAGCTTTCTTCTTCCTCACAGAGAGATATCGCCCACTTTGCTGCCCTCCTAAGCTCTTACAGCACAGCAGAACAGATTTTGAAGGAGAGAGAAACAGATTAGAATCCAGGCTCTGCCACTTACTAGCTCTGTGAACTTGGCTAAGTTATTTAACCTTTTTTGAGCTCTAGTTTCCTTATGTGATCAATGGGATAGCAAAACTTACATATGGGGCAATTAAATGAGATAATAAAGCCCTTAGTAATTGATTACATCTGTGGATTCTTATTAAGATGATACTATGCAGTATCAGTAACAGTATCTGCAAAAAAATCTCTAAAATAAATGCAACAAATGAATTTTGTGGTACTGTCTCTTATAATATTCTTCCCCTCAGAAATTAGATTTCTCATCATCAAATATAATCAAAGATTAAAATTTAGTAGAGGAGTGGATTCTATACATATTCTTCTGACAGTCCCCTAAAATAATGTTTTTTATAGCTCAGTTTGGTACCTTTTGGTCAGCAGAAATTCTCGGTGATATCTTTAGCAAATAGCCTAGATGGGGAGAATCTCTGTTGCTAAGTATTCCTACCTAAATATCCCTGTGTTTTAATGATCCAGTGAGTTTGGTGTAGGGTTGGTGACTCCCTGTTGAGTTGAGAAATCTCTCCAGAACATGTTTGGTTAGAAAACTCTTCTTCATACTCCCCAGAGGTTTGATATCAGACACATTTTGGAAGTTGGTTTAGGATATTTTCAATTAAGGGCATAAATCTACATTTTTAAAGACTTAATAGTGGGGTGCCTGGGTGGCTCAGTCAGTTGGGCATCTGGCCCTTAATTTTGGCTCAGCTCATGATCTCAGGGTCATGAGATTGAGCCCCAAGTGGGGCTCTGTGCTGGGTGTGGAACCAGCTTAAGGTTCTCTCTCTCTCCCTCTGCCAGCACCCCCCCCCTCCCCCCCCCCCCCCCGCGCCCGCCCCCCCCCCCCCACCCTCCGCTGCTGGAGCATGCACACTCTCAACAAAACAAAACAAAAATGACTTAATAGTTAAAAAAAAATAGTATGATATGAGAGTGCACAAGTTAATAGAGCAGGCTCTGATTAAGAAACTGAAAGCTCAGGGCGCCGGGGTGGCTCAGTCTGTTAAGCATCGGTCAGGTCACAATCCCAGGATCCTGGAATCGCCCTGCAGTCAGGCTCCCTTCTCAGTGGGGAAACTGCTTCTCCCTTTCTCACTGCCCCCAGCTCATGCTCTCACTCTCTATCTCAAATAAATAAATAAATAAATAAAATCTTAAAAAACCAACAAAGTTCTCTTTTCTGTAGTCTTATATCTGCAACATACTAGCTATGACTCTGGATTATTCACTTAATTTTCTTACATGTAAAATGTAAGGAATACACTAGTCTCTGAGTTACCATCTCATTTTAGATTTTTGTAATTTTTTAATTGCATATATTAAATTTCTGTCAAATTTTTTACCAATTTTCTAATTTTATTACCGGTTTTTGCCAATAAAATGCCTAATTTTATGATTAAAACTATTCAAAATGGCTCATTTAGAGCCAGCTTTTTTTTTTTTTTTGAGTTAATAATGGATATTTTATGAATGACTACACTGAAATATTGTTTTATATTATGGAGCTGAAGATTTCACTGTGTTAATTTCATATTCTTATGTTGGCCCTTTAGTAATGAATCAAGATTCCTATACTGTGATGCTAATAAATGCAGTAATAGTCCACTGTTTCCTTAGACAAACCACTGGGATTGTCCTGTGGCAACAATAAGAAATCTTCCCAACCACAGCTTTATGAAAATTACACTTCAGGGTTTTAGATGAGAACAGAGGAGCCTCAAGCATATCCTTGAAGCAGCGACTATGATATATCTCTTCTGCTTAAGTCACTCCCAGATATATTGTATTAAATAAGACCAGGCAGAGTACTCAAATGCTGTGTAAAAACTGTATTCAGTATATTCACACACTCTTTATCTAATCACAGGTTTACAAAATCATAAAAAGTTTATACAGGTGATTAATAGTATTTTAGAACTAGCATATTATGGTTAAGAGTCTAAGATTGACAGTATAGGTAAACAAAAAAAAAAATCTCAACAAAAATAGGGGCTTGAAAATACAAAGTCTGGAAATAAAGGGCCTATAGTCCCAAATAAAAACAGATCTAAATATATAACTTCATAACCTATTGACTTTGTATTTTGTCTTTAAAAATTTCATCTCTGAAAGATGATGGTAAGTCTGTTCCCCTGGGTTTACCTGCTAGTCTGTGGCATTCTTAAAAACTGCAAAATCCCAATTATAATTTTCAGTGCTCATGATTTTTATTAATAATTGAAGCAGTATGCCAACTGTGCCAGCCTAGATTTATATAAAAATTTCTGGTTTTAACAGAACAAAAAATTATTATGTTTTTAAGTATGTAAGTATATAAGTATATAACATTTTATGCTGTTTACCTTTTCCTCTACTAATTTAAAATAAATAAAAACTTTATTTTTTTTTCATAAAACCTGAAAAATATTTTTAAATATTGGGTCAGTTTTTCTGTTTGTAAATGTTTGTTCATGGATACATGAGTTACAGGAAAATACTTCTTCCGCTGTTCCCAACTTTTTGGGTAGAGAGACGGGCACTGTAACTGAAATGTAGAAACAACTTAACATGTATGAACTGTGTGTTTTTATACTTAAAAGATGAATCCTAAGACAACAGATTTTTTAAGAATATACGTTGAGAAATACTACAAATTCATAAATAATAATGTTGCTGACAGCAGTGAATTTTGATGGAGACTGCGCTCTTCTCTTGCTGCATCAGAACAGATCCCAGAGTTATGCCTCTCTCATTTGAACTGGATGTTTTCCTCTTACATGACTTTTCCCAGTGAGTTTTTCAAGCCTTTCACATGGTAGAAATCATTAACAAACATTTTGTGCCCTGGAAAAATATATCCCAAATATTATCTTTAGTTCGAAATCTGAAAGAGCGTATCTACTCTATTTCACATGTGAGTTCACTATGGTAGATCTGCTCAACTATTTTAGGTAGTAGTATTTGATTAAAAACACAGGTAACGGATATCTTTTTACAGGAGTTGGCCCATGGGTTAAGTGAACTCCTATCCTATGAAGGCAATGTTGAAGAAGATTTCTATTCAACGTTCCAGGTACTGTTCAGGGCAAATAGCTTTTTGTTAACCATGTATTTCATATGTGAAAAATGCCACTTGTTATTCAACACCTATCATTAGAAGAGATGAACAAGGATTAATCTGTAGTGTGTGATTAACACACACCATCCCATATCATAAGGGCTCTTAACCTGATAAAGCAGAGATAGTGCAGCAGACCCATGTAGATGACCAGTCAAGGAAAGTGCCTAAAGAAGCTCCCCAGGGTGCAGGTACTCTGCTAGGCACCTGGCATATGCCCTTGGCTTAGCTACTTCCTCTCAGCTTTTCAGCTTCTAAAAATAAGCCTCTCCTGTAGCTTCAGTGCAAGAAGTTAGGAGCAGAAACTAGTGGATCAGACCAAAATGGTCTCATTTCCTCTCCTCTAACAGTAATTGGGAGATGGAAGTCAGAGTAATCCACACAGCTCCGAAGTCCTGAGTATTATCTAAATGGCCATACTAGTTGATGAACAGCAGTAAGGTATTCAACTGTGCTCAACAGAGAGGGTTAAGTCCCGGTAGTTTGTAGATCGGTGGGGTGGGGACCTGTTCTTAAATTTATACAAAACTGTTCGTTGAAGCCTATTATTAGATTAACCATACCAATAAATATCTTGTGTTGGAATATCCCAACAGGTTTTTCAAGAAGAATTTGGAATCATTAAATCCTACAATTTAAAGCCAGGTGGTGATAAAATTCCAGTTACCAATCAAAATAGGAAAGGTAAGGAGACAGCATTTCTTAATTGAAATGCATGAATGTTTACCACTTACTTTTACTATCTAATGAATGTAAAATTGCCTTCCAGAATATGTGCAGCTTTATATTGACTTTCTTCTCAACAAATCCATCTATAAGCAGTTTGCTGCCTTTTATTATGGATTTCATAGTGTGTGTGCTTCAAATGCCCTGATGGTGAGTTTAAAACTAAATTATGCTTTCGGTTAGATTTTGTAATACTGTAATATTGACAAATAAGTCCTGAAATAGATAAGCTTCTAAAATAGAATTTTTTTTTACTTTTCGAAGGTAGAGCTATAAATAAAAATAGTTTTCTTCTTTGGCCTTAATTCTCTAATGGGAGAAAAGACCAGTCAACTCCCTTTTTCTTTCCTTGGGCTCTGTCTTGTACTATGTCTTTTGGGGTTTTAAGAATTTTCCTTAAGATTAGATGACGAGATTCCCATAGGCTCAAGGAACAAAGCACAGAAAACAGTTATACATAAGCTGCCCGGCCGAAGCCATAGCTTCTGACTAAGGAACGTATCTATAACTGCTTCCTGCTGCAACTCTGAGTTACCTTTTGCCCATAGGAAGTAGTTTGTCCTCAGAGTCATGATGCACTCTGGTTGGTTGGACATGCCTTAGCCATGTGAAGGTGGGTCAGCTGCCATTCAGAACACTGTGTCAGATAAAAGTCAGGCAAAGTCTTCTAATGAAGCCCTGCACTTCACACCAGCTCCACAGCGGGCGCTCTGTCAGGCCACGAGTATCTCCCCCTCAGTTTTAGTATGAGCGTTTGGAGTAGGGTCTTCCATTTGAGATATTATTACAGGAAAGAGCTGGTTTTAAGGTAACCTCTGTCCGGTATTTTAAAAGCACTGCTGAAAAAGGAGCACTTTATTGAGCTCTAACTGGGTTTTGTCTGGGGCACACTGCTAGTTGTGGGGGTGGAGGAGGGAAAATAAGAATTAAATGACACAGCGTGGTCTCCACTCTTAAGTTTTAATCTCTTCAGGTGAGAGACAACTTACAAATTAACATTCAATTTACAAATTAATGTTACGTAGGTGAAAAACCCAGTGAACTACACCAGGAAGACTATAACCAAGTACCCAGACTCTGCAGTGCACCTGGGAGGCGTGTGGGATATTGGAAGGAGGCTGGAATAGCTGAGAGTTTCAAGCAGGCTTGGGGGGGCGAGGGCAGGGGCAGGGGCAGGGAAGAGTTGTCATTTGAATTCATGCTTAGTCATCTGCTTGTTTTTCTGGCAAACTGCTAATTACTGTTTGCAAAAGGGAGAGCCTAATAGTTTGACAAGATTTATAAACTTTCAGAAGCAAAAGTATCTTAACCTCAGTAGAAAACTAAAATGGAGATTTTTTTTTCCTTAATAAAAATGACTTGATTTACTATAAAGAAGTCATGTGTCTTATAATTCGATTCAGTGAAGACAGTTCCACTTTCATTTATTTAATCATCACTTTTTATTATCATTTTTGGAAAATAATTCTTGGCAGCTGCTTCGCCCAGAAGAAGTTGAAATTCTGGTCTGTGGAAGTCCGGAACTGGACATGCACGCTCTGCAGAGAAGTACTCAGTACGATGGCTACGCAAAAACAGACCTAACGATAAGGTCAGCACACCCTGCTGCTGAGATGGAGATTGCCGGAGGGGGAATGAGAGAGAGTGGGGCCTGTTTGTATAAGTTAGCTGAAATATTGTAGTCCTGTCTTATTTTATCTTTAGAAAGTAACATGAGAATATTAAATATGAGAAAGCACTTGGCAGTCCCCTTGGGAGAAAGTGGTATAAATAAGTCTCTACAAAAGTATAAAGATTTTTTTTTAATCTATTTTTAGAAAGAGATGGCAGGAGCTGGGGTGGGGCAGGGACGGAGAGAGGGAGAGAGAGAATCTTAAGCAGGCTCCACACCCAGTGCAGAGCCCAACATGGGGCTTGATCTCATGACCCTGAGATCATGACCTGAACTGAAAGTAAGAGTTAGATACTTACCCTACTGAGCTACCCAGGTGTCCCAAGATTTTGCTTTTTTAAAAAATGACTTTGGTTCTAGAATTTGGGGGATGCTCTACTTACAAATAGCATTTTACTAGCACTGTGCTGAAAAAAAATAAAAATAAAACTTGTAAATTATATAGGAGAAAAATGGCTTTTGTACCATCTACTGTTAAACTACTTTTATAATTCTATAAAGATGTTACCTTTGGAGTGCCTAGGTGGCTCAGTTGGTTAAGCATCTGACTCTTCATCTCAGCTCAGGCCTGATCTCAGGGTGGTGAGCTCAAGCATTACACTGGGCTCCACGCTGGGCACTGAGCCTACTTTAAAAAGTAGGTTACTGACTGTGGACTCTGAGAAACAAACTGAGGGTTTGGGAAGGGAGGGTTGTGGGGGGAGTGGGTGAGCCTGGTGGTGGGTATTAAAGAGGGCATGGATTGCATGGAGCACTGGGTGTGGTGCATAAACAATGAATCTTGGAACACTGAAAAAATAAAATTAAGATGTTAAAAAAAATAGGTTACTTTCATAATAATGTTAGTCAAGAATCTGATTCATATATAGAAGCTTGCCATTCCTTAACTTCACATTAAGGGCTATTGCATATGTTTAAGGGAGTTTTTTCCTTAAAGCTTACTTTATGTTACTTTATTCTGATCGGCAGAATTTTTGACAAGACATTTTATATAAATTTCCTTTGGTGTTCTCTAGATATTTCTGGGATGTTGTGCTTGGATTTCCTCTTGATCTTCAAAAGAAGTTGCTACATTTTACTACAGGAAGTGACAGAGTACCTGTAGGAGGGATGGCTGACTTGAACTTTAAAATCTCAAAGAATGAAACTTCCACTAACTGGTAAATTTCCAGATTGTAATTTTATTTTTTTAATCTGCAAGCTTTGCTAATAATAATAACAACAACAACATATTTGTTTGGAATTAGAGGATTCTTTCGATCAGAAGTCATTTTTATAGCAAAAAAATCTTCAGAGTAAATAAAACCTTGACATGAGAGAGTAGAACGTATATGTATTAAAGTTCTCTATTCATTTTTGAGATTTACCAACAGTAATAATTCCTTTCTATCAACTTTTTACTTTGCTAAGTCAAATGCTTTGTAGTCTCTTTTAGAATCTAGCTGGCTTTTAGTAGTATGTTGTATAATGTCATTTTTATTTAAAGGTGTTTTTTATTAAAAATATTAAGGTGAGTTTTTTGACTTGAATTATGATTAGTACAAGAAATCCTCTAATAGTAGTCCTTCTTTTTTTAATCTAGTGCACTTTGCATATGAAAGTAATAATGATGGCTTTGCTTTCTAATATTATTGATGGGTTAACGCTGATCTACTTGTTTTCCCAAACATCTTATAATTTTTAAAGCTGATTTGAGTAGACGCTGCTTTTATTCGAATCAGTTTTTTCTCCCACCCAATTTACTCCCTGACCTTTGTCAGCTCTTCCTTTCATTTTAGACCTGGACTCAGCCCTTTCCTTTTCCATGGCCACCACCCTGCTGGAGTTGTTTTTTGTCTCCTTCCTAACTTATTGAAATAGCCTTCTTCCTGGTCTACTTGCTCAGATTCTTCCTTTTTAAATTATTTTATCTATTAAATTCATTTTCCTTAACACTGCTTTGTTCATGGTATTTCCTTGGGCCATAATAGCTTTACTGTTCTTCTTCAGTAGAGGCTCTAGAATCTAGAGCCTGTCTGATAAAGCTCTACAGTCTTCTCCCCAAGATTACATAGCAGTTTCCCTTTCTTATCCCAGGCTTTAGTCAGCAGGCTATTTTGCTATTCCTTCAACACATTTTGTCCTTTCCTTTTTTCATACTTTTAAGTGGTTCTCTTAATATATGACATTCAGTTGGGGTCTCTCTACCCAAGAAAGTTCTACCCCTCCTTAAAGACCCATTTTCACATCAACTTCCTCAGTAAAGTAAAAAAAATCATTGTTCCTTTGATGTACTCCTCAATTATTTTATAGAAATCATATGTCACTTAGCATCTTGCACCTTTATCTTGGTCATTTAGCCCCTCAAGGCAGAGGTCATGCCTAATACATCTTTATATTTTTCAAATAGCCACACACATATTAGGTGTTCAATTAATGTTTCTTGAATGAATATTTCAGTCAACATCAACATTATATTAAAATACAAAACAAATATTTATATACATACATATATATTACACACACACACACACATACATTAAGAAATGTCTAAATAAGATTTATAATTAAAGACCAAAAATGAAAAAAATTCAAAAGAAGCTTTTTTGCAGGGTGCCTGGGTGGCTCAGTCAGTTAAGCGGCTGCCTTCAGCTCAGGTAATGATCCCAGGGTCTTGGGATTGAGCCCCGCATCAGGCTCCCTGCTCAGCGGGGAGCCTGCTTCTTCCTCTGCCTCTGCTGCTCCTTCTGCTTGTGTTCTCTCACTTGCACTCTCTCTCTCGAATAGATAGATAAAATCTTTTTTAAAAAGAAGAAGAAGTTTTTTAAAGGTTATAGATTTATTTATATAACAGAAATTAATTTTTTAGGATATTGAGTAACAAAAATATTGTCAATTTAAGAAGAGTAACCTGGGGGATGCCTGAGTGACTCAGTCAGTTAAATGCCCCTTGATTTTGGCTCAGGTCTTGATCCCAGTGTCATGATTTCAACCCCCACATTGGGCTGTGGAGCTTACCTCACCCAACATGGAGCCTACCTTAAAAATAAGTAAATAAATAAATAGAGTAATGTGAGTAATGTAATTTGATATAAAAGTGATATCACACCTAAACTTTTCCTATTGTTATTTCAGAGAGTATTTTTGTAAGCATCCATGGTTTAGTCATGAATCTTCCACAGCTCTAGGATTTGCAGTAGGACATTCACATAGATGAAATACAGTTGTCCACCAAAGATGTGTACATCACCATTGTAGATCCACTAGATTTTTGTTAAATAAGAATGTTAAATTTTTACATGGTAACAGTATTGATGTGAGGTCTGACTGAACTGGGTTTGATTATCAAAGGTCTACAACTTTACCAGCTCCGTAGTGTTGAACAGATTACTTAACCTGTATGTTCCCATGTTTAGTTTTCCTCATCAGTAAAATGAGGATAACAAAAACTACTTTTTAGGTTGCTTTGAGGCTTAAATGAAACATTGCATATAAAAGCACTTCGCACAACACTGGTTGTAGACCAAACAATAAATGCAAACTGATTATGACAGTTTTAAGTCTTTTAATCCTACAAACTTTTTTCTTTTGAAAATGTTCTCCTTTTCCCTGGCACATTTCCTGTTTTCTTTTTCACTAACTTCTCTGATGGCCCTTCTGATGCTGTGAAGTTCCTAAAGTCTGAAGGAGGGGCCTAGGAAAAGGGTAGCGGTCTAGAGTGAAGATAAACAGTGTCATCAGGGCCAAGACCAGGGCTGGTCCAGAAGATTTGGAGGACGAAAGCCGCATTTGCCTGAGGGTGGCGGCACTGAAAGCATGGGCGTCAGGTGTCCAGGAGTGTCCTTTTTTATTATTTTTGGACAGTCAAGACTGAAATAATCATAACAGTTGTATTATCCACCGTTCTGCTGGCCTTTTTATGCACATAGCTCTTTAAATCGTCTACTAAACAACCCACTTGGATAGTTTACCCTGCTGTGGTAACAAGGACTGAGATATGGAGTCATGAAGCCACTCGGACAAGATCCCATGGCCAGTAAGTCAGGGACAGCATTCAAATTCAGATCTGCCTCCAACAGTAAAGCCTCTAGGATGCAAGGTTCGCACGAGCGCAGGGACATTGACCATCTGGTCTGTAAACCCACCCCTGTGTCTAGAACAACGGTGCCGAAACATAGCAGGAACTCTGTAAGTATCTGTTCAGTGAAGGAATTCATGAGCCACCTCTTGGCAATAGCGAGCTAGGTTTGACTTGGCCGTGTTTGACAATAGCTTAGCACTTAAACTGTATGTGTTTTGAGACTTAGTATCTGTAAAAAAAATTTTTTTCCCTAGGTTGCCTGTGGCCCACACCTGCTTCAATCAACTTTGCCTTCCCCCCTACAAGAGCAAAAAGGACCTAAAACAGAAATTGATCATTGGAATTTCAAATTCAGAAGGTTTTGGACTTGAGTAACCTAGAAGACTTGAAATATATTTTATATGTAGCATTCACTTCCCTCTTATTGTGCCTTTAACCTTTTCATGTCTCTGTCTCACACCACCTTGACAAAGCTCACCAACTTTAAGATACTGATTTTTTAAAAATCAAATATAAAATATGTTTAGTGGGGGAGGCATGATTTTCTAAAAACACAGAAATTGCTTGAGTGAGGAAAAGACCAGATGTCAGAGACAGGTGTGGGTCTAGGCCCTCTTTTTTATAGCACTTTATGATTCTCCATAGGTCGTTCCGCACAGGTGTTCCACTGGGAAAGCAAAGCCCAGTGAGGAATGCCCTGACCATGTAGTGGAGCCCAGTGGGGCCCCATGGCAGACTGTGCTGCTGGCTCACAGTGGCAAAGCACACAGCTCTGTTCTCATTCACGTGAGGCATGTAGCCATATTTTCATATAGAGGTAAACGACAACAGTATAAATGCAGTTTACAGGGTTTTTGTTTTTGTTTTTGTTTTTGTTTTTTGATATACTGGCTTTGGTCCTATAAGATTCTTTTCAACTGTTGCTGAAAAGCATGTAAATAACTACATAATAGCCTGAGAATAATGGGATTTTGATAGTGCCATTTATTGCTAAAAGATTTATTTTTACAAAATAAATTCAGGGTTTTAGATGTGTATACAGCTTTTACAAATCAATAAAGATGAATGTACAAGAGTGTTAACTATTTTCAGACTAATTGGATTCGAGGTTCCGTTCTTTTAAGTAATGTTAGTCTGCATGCACATTGGCAGTAAACTAGTTACTTTGAGTATTCTGTAATATTTGTATAATGATCATTTCTTCTTAAGGGTCAGGACATTAGAGGGGATATCAGATCTAACTGTTGATAAATTAAGTCAATTACAAGCACAAAAGAAAAGAACTGTTTTTATATATACTTTGATTGATGTACAAGGCTTACTTCTAATATTTTTTGAACACCAGTTGTACTGAAACACAAATTTTGGGGAAAGGCTAGGATAAGATATTTGACAAAAGTGAATACAATAATACCATCTGTGTCAAAATGATGTAGCCTGGTATCAAAATAAAGTTCAGCATTTTGGCCAAAATGTTTGTATTTCACTGGATTCTGAATGTAGTAAATTCAAAAGTATTCTTTTTGGAGTTTCTCAACAAGTAGCACGTAAAAAGAAACCACATTTTAAGTCAGACTGTAAATGGTTTTCTTTTTATTCATAGCAAATGAAGCAGTTTTATTGGCATGGTACAAATATTTCCAAATCAAGACTTCTCTATTATATTCTGATAGCTTTCCTTCAGGAAACTCTGGAGGTACATTTGCAATAATAACGAAGCCAGCATTTAGTACCAGCATATGGTTCACAGGCAAATAATACTGTCCCCCAGTTTTTTCTTAGTTACGCTGTTTTCTTATTGCTATGCTTCCTACACCCAACCAGCAGAATTCTTTAGGGTGGAGGAATGGATCAGCTCGTTCTCCTGTAATGCTAGAGCCAATTCCGAATCCTCAAGGAACAGGACTTACTGAGCTTACTGTTCTCTTTGAGATGACAGTGACTCTGCTTTTCCACCAGGTATACTATGGAAAGGATTTTTCCTCTTAAAAATCTTGGAAAAGCCTAAGAGAGTTAAAGGCCTGTTGGTTTTGTTTGCTCTATTTTTAATCCGTATGCAAATAAAACTGCTTCTCTGTTACACTGCTAGAGCTAGAGCATAAGATGTTTAATGTAGGTTACTACTTACTAATAAGCACAAAAGAATCATGTATAAGAAATCAGATTTAAGTGTTTTAAATAAAATGTAAACAGAGTTTTTATTTGGTAGAGACGGAAAAATTGTGTTGGCTTGGTCTGCATGTTTAATGATGTGCTTGTATATCGGTAGCTCTGTCACTTTTAAATAAGTACACAAGCAAGCCAAATTTTTAAATGACAAAGTCCATAAGTAACTAGAAAATTATTGTTGTCTGTTGTTATTAAGTTGAAATTTATAAACATTTATCACTTAATTACAAATTGCCTTTATTTATTTATGTTGTTTTGGTTTACAGTGTAATAATACCTCATTTTCTTAAAAAAAAAAACCACTACTGTTCTATTTCCTTAATTTAAATAGCTAGAAAATTCATGTAGTTGCTTTTTTTAATATAATCTGTTAAGGAATTCTTGATTTTTATATCTGCAACAGTAAATTAAAGCATTGTGCTGTATTTATCAGTATTTACAAAATGTCCTGTCCCTTTTAAATCTTTGCTTAATCATATTTTTGTCTGTATGATCAAAAGTTTTTAACAGTCTGTCTTTTTTGTACAAATCTGTATTGTATTAAGTTGTTCATTTCTGGATAAAATTTTTCAAATATTAAAGTTATACAATCAGGTTTCTGCTCAATTTTTTAATCTTAGGCAATTAATTAAAACCATAAGTTTAAAATATTTTATAAAAGCACACTGTCTCTTACACTAGTGCTTAGGAAAATTGCTAATACATAGAGCTTCAAAAGATATGTGTTGATATTGACACCAAATAAAACCAATTTCTTTCACATTATTTTTAGTGTGAAATAATGTCTATCCAGTGTCTGGATGGTCACAGACCATTCTGTCAAATGAACATTATAACACCATGGAGGCCACCCAGAAAGGAACCAAGTATGACATTTCATTGGCCAACTTCAGATCTTAAGTATTCCTCCCCAAAACCATTAGTTTAGTCTTCTTCCCCTAGCCCACATCTCCCATGCTTAAGGAAAAGAGAGAAGAGATTATGAGAATGTAGGGGAGAATGGCTTGAGTGATTCATGGAAGAGAGCTGACTGATTCATGGATAATAGGCAGCTGGGTGGGCGGATGGAAGACAAGGGTGGCAAATACACAATCAATTCTCAGTGGCAAATACACAACCAATTCACCCCGATGGCCACACAGCCTCTGGTCCAGTGTGGTGGTTATGAACCGTGCCTTGGTGCCAGACTGCCTGGATTTGGGTTTGCTATTCACTAGCTGTGTTTCCTTGGGCCAGTAACTTATTCTCCACCACCCCCCCGTCCCCCGCCTCAATTACCACGTGAAAATAATTTGTAAATGGAAATAAAAAACCTCCCTATCTTGCAGGTTGGCTTGTAGGAGGATTAAGTGGGTCAATGTGTGTAAAGCCGTCACAGCACGTGACATATGGTAAACAATATGATGGGATGCAAGAGGGAGCCTGGTGCTAAGGTGATGACTTGTAAAACCACAGTTTCTGCAGCCCTCTGGAGGTCTTTGACTATCAGACACTGGGGACAACCACAGATAAAAGACCACAAAGTGCTTCTGAGGCATTAAAATTGCGCTAGGAGAGTATTTCTTATTCTAGAAACAGTGCGTTAGAATTTATCCTTGTAGGTGTTTCACTGGGCAAGGGTTTCTTCTTTTTTTTTTTTTTTTGCATCAATTTCTCTGTATTTTATTTTTTATTTAAATTCAATTAATAAACCTATAGTGTATCATTCATTAGTTTCAGAGGTTGAAGTCAGTGATTCATCAGTCTTATGTAACACCCAGTGCTCATTATATCACGTGCCCTCTTTAATGTCCATCACCCAATTATCCCATCCCCCAACCCTGGCCCCCTCCAGCAACCCTCGGTTTGTTTCCTATGTTTAAGAGTCTCTTATGGTTTGTTTCCCTCTCAATTTTGTCTTGTTTTATTTTCCCCTCTCTTCCCCTATGGTCCTCTGTTTTGTTTCTTAAATTCCACATGAGTGAGATCATATGATAATTCTTTCTGTAACTGACTTATTTTGTTTAGCATAATACCCTCTAGTTCTATCCAATGATAAGATTTCATCCTTTCTGATGGCTGAGTAATATTCCATTGTGTGTATACACACACACACACACACACACACACACACACTACATATTCTTTATCATTCATCTGTCAATGGACATCTGGGCTCTTTCCATAGTTTGGCTATTGTGGACATTGCTGCTATAAATATTGGGGTGCAGGGGCCCCTTCAGATTACTGCATTTGTATCTTTAGGGTAAATACTCAATAGTGCAATTGCTGGGTCATAGGGTAGCTCTATTTTCAACTTTTTGAGGAACCTGCATGCTGTTTTCCAGAGTGACCACACCAGCTTGCATTCCCACCAACAGTGTAAGAGAGTTCCCCTTTCTCCACATCCTCTGGGCAAGGGTTTCTAATACTATTTTACAAATGTGTAAACGGCATAATTTTAAAACTCCTAAGTGAGGAGTTTATTTTTAATGAAGTATTTCAAATACAGAGAAAATTTTCAGAGATTAATACAGTAAAAGCATTTCCCCACACTCAGATCTAATATGTTAACATTTTGCCTGACTTTATTTAAAAATAAAATATTTAAAAATAAAAAATTACAGATGGAGTTGAAGTCCCTTTTTGTGTCCTTCTACAATCCCAAAGTACTCTGTCCTTTCTCCATTAACCTGCGGTGGCCATGAACCCTTCCAGCACAGTCTTACATCCCTCACCCACGCACCTGTCTGTAAACACCAGACAGCGCTGCAACGGTCACATACCCTAATAGACTCTACTATGGGTACAAAGTGTCTACACCCAATATTGTCTTTCCAGGTTTAGCCCTGATTCTACATTTAGATATAATTCCCCCAGTTTAGTTGCAGAATGGAATCCTATTAACCGTATAAACACCACAGTTTGCTGACCCGTCCTTCACAGATTAACATTTAGATGTTTTCACCAGTGTGAACCAGGCCATGATGGGCGCCCTCGCCCAGACTGAGTGAACATGGATAGTCTCCCTAGATTGTAAACCCAGATGTGGAATGGCCAGAATCACAGGCTGAGACGCAGATATTACTGTCCAGTTAGTCTCAGTATTAATCAGTATTAATTTCCACCACATTCTAAGAGTTGTCATTTCTCCACATTATCCTTAACACTTGATTTTACCTTACCATTGTGTTTTTTACATTTCCACAATTACTAATGATGTTGAGCACATTTTTGTATGTTGATAGACCATTCCTATTTCTTCTAGGAATGGCTAGTTCAATATGCTGGCCTATTTTTTTTCCCTTGATGGTTTTTAGGAGTTATTTCTTTACTCTTGATTCTGATCCTTTGTTAATCTGCCAGTGACCATGTGACTTTGAACGAATAACATCTCTTCACCTCAGTTTACGCTCAGTTCACCTCTGTAAAATAAAGAAAATAATAATACATAGCTCATAGAACTGTTAGATAAGCCTGTGTATAAGCATGTATAAGAGTGTGTGTCTGTATATACTTATGTATATATGTATATATTTTAAATATATGTAATATGAAGTTAAATAAGCGTATAAGTATATGTATATATATCTAGTTAATATATACACAAAACATGTACTTATATATATACCTATTTAACATATATATGTGTGTAAATAAGTTCTTATATTTATGCCTGAGCCATAATCATGTTTGGTATTATCATTATAGCTTATGCAT